AGATTTTTCGTACCTCAGACATGATGGTTTAAATGGTCAAGGTCTGACAGGACCTTAAAAAAGGGCTGAGGATCATATGTGACCCCGCCCATGAGAACCCGGCTAAAGTCGCAACGTCTAATTATTCAATAAAGGTCGTCAAAGCTGTCATATCGATAAAAATGTCAAAATTGTGCTATATGAGATTATTGCTGTAAATGATAGATTAAGTACTGAGGTTTATGGATGGCTTGTTTAAAAGTCAATTTCTAACATGATAAATAGCGTATTTTGTGATTTTATAAACCTNTCACCTTTTGCTTTGATTACTGCTTCAAGGTTATAGTACTTTGTTCACTACTACAGTGGATTGATAAGTCATTAAAAAAAAGCGCATTTGAAGTTTTGTTTTATTAAGACAAATTCAAAAAGTCTCTGCTTTGTTGTTTTTCAAACCTGCACCAGAAGGGATAAATAATATTTATACAGTTAAAAAATGAAGCTGACAAAGGCAGGAGCAGTTAGGACAAGGCTTTAGCACCAACCTTAGTCAGGAATCTCTACCTTTAAGAAATAAAGGTTTTTTCTTTCATACTAATGGAAATCAGAGTTTATGATCATTATGCAAAACTTCAGAAGCTTTTTTACTTAATGAAAATAATATTTCACTTTAGAAAAGATTATTAGTTCTAAATAGTGTAAACATTATGAATATATATATATATTTTTTTACCAGACTGAGTAAATGTGTTTATACTAAAAGGTTTTACTGAAATATTCTGGCTGAAAAAGGCTGTATTCATTTTTACCAGGAGGTACAAAAATAAAAAAAATGAAAAACTAAAAACTTTTTTAATCCTTTGGCAGAGTGAATCAGCTGAACTGCTCAAGAGTTTCAGCAAACAACAGCTGCTCTTCAACATGGAACAGTGACCCAGATCTGGTCCCGTGCTCCGACAGTCAGCTTTTATCCCCACACTTCAGAGAAGTGGCGCAGCGGTTACATGTGGGACAGCTGTTGCAGATGTCAGTGGAGTCACACATTACAAACAGTGTAACCCGTTTATATCAAACTCCCCAACTCAGATGCTTTGATTATCATAATGATTTGTGAAGCACGGAGCTCTGCTAATTAATTATCTACTGTGGCCAGATCTTTAAATCGTAAATGTGGTTTGAAGCAAAATCCACATGTGATTTGTTTTTGACTCTTATCTGATTATGCAATTGAGAAAATACATTATATATGATATATATATATATGATTACTGAGAGAAATATCAAAAGGAAAATGTTTAAAATCCTCATAGAGGACCAAAAACCTGAAGTCACGCATTGCTGATTTACCCAGCGTATCCCTGACGTCCCAGAATCTCCTAAAACGCTGACATACGCTGAACTTTCTATGTATTTTTTCAACATTGGGCGTATACATAGGGCCGGATTTATCAAGATCCAATTTTGCGTGCAGTAATTTGCGCTCGCAAACTGGAATTTTGTGCGAGGGGCTGAACCATGGTTTGCGGGTGATTTAACAAGAGCGATTGCGTAACTGGTGGCAGGTGCAAAACTGTTGGAGACGCCCTATTTAAATGATGGTTTTGCGCGTTTTGTGGTTTGCGGCAAAGTAGTTGGTGCTAACTAGCGCATTAAGAAA